TTTTGCTATTTCCTTCAAAGCAGCTTGAACTTCTTCCTTCATCACCATAGGCTCTTGCTCATATGTTATTTCTTTAAATTCCTCTGTATCTGCCAAAGAAAATAACACATATATAGGCCGTTTTAAAAAAAGCTACAAAACCACTAAATTGTGTTGAGAATATTACTAAGGCACTTTGAATTAAAATATCCCATGAGTTACTTGGACTCTTAACATCTATTATATTTAGATGTTCATAGTCTTCTACTATAAAAAAATTGTTTTAATAAGATGGTTCAACATTACTTTTTTCCCCCCTTCTAGAATACAAGAATTTTAAGCAAGTATGAAATACATCCTAATGAAAATCTTGTGATATGCTAAGTTTCAAAAGGTATTTATAACATAGTTAACAATTCTGCACCTGGATGTTTTCATCTTTAAACATACTTTGTTTCAATCACGTCAATTGCTAAAAACCAAACCAGTCCAGAAGGTTATACAATTTGGTAGAAAGGCTTAGATATTACCAACTAGGTCATCATATAAAAAAATTAAGCATTTTTATAAAACTATTCAAAGGTTAGAGTTTCAGACATATATTTCAAAATATATTCCTAAAATTTTAACTTTTGTCTATTATTTTTTTAAAATGGACTCATCTTAAGATATAAGTAAACCACATAGTTATAATATGAAATTATGGATTTTAAATGGCACTAATACTTCTGTCTTTGGTATAATGCACTACAAATTTAACAATTAGTTGGCAAAAGGGAGAACAACCTAGATTCATTTTAAGTAACTTAAAAAATTTGTAACAGTCATTATTTCATTATCTAAGCAATATTGCCTACTTGGGCATATGTACTGACCTTATATTTGGAAATAATTTTCCATAAATGGTGGTTATTGTGTCCATTCATGAGATAGAGAACAAGGAAATAATACAGCAAATAAAAAACAGTAAAAAAAAATCAAGGCACACACCCAATTTTTTTAAATAACTTCCACTTGTAATGATCTTCTTATATGATGCTCTAGAATGACTGTTCTATATGTAACTAGAGTTTTTTTCGATCCTTTTCCCTCTTGCTACCAGTAGGAACAGAATAAGATTGGTTCTGGAATATTTCAGAGGATGCTTTCTTTTTAGAAAAAGCAATTATTTCTTCTTCTAAAAGTTTTCTCTTTTCTTCAAGCTTCATTCTCTCTTCTTGGTGAACTCTTTTAAGATGTTCAAATTTGGCCTGCAGCTCTCTTTCCGCTTCTTTCAATATGGCTTCCTTCTCCTTTACTCGTTGCACAAACATCTGTTTCATCTCATCTTCCTTTTTCTGGAGTTCACCGTAGAATTCATGTCTTTTGGCTTTGTAAGTCTCTTGAAGACTGACTGGCTTGTTCTCTGGGCCCATGTCTTTAAAGCCCAGCTCCTCCAGTTTGCAACGCCTGTATAGTTCATAGTGTCTAGTGTGAGTTTGTTCTCGAAGATCTTCCATATTTGTACAAATGAGCATTTCTCGGAGCTTTACAAAGTCACAATGGCTCTCATTTTCCACTTGTACGACACCCCATGGATACTGACGAGCTTTGACCATCTTGTTTCCAACTTTGACCTCATCCATACTTCCTATAACAGCAAATGGTAAATGTGCATTCATTGAAGAATTGATTTTAGCAATGGTCTCATCATCTGTTGGGAACTGATATATCTGGACACCATTGCTAAGCAATTCA